TATCTGCAACAAACCGACTAGTTGGGTATTTCTTGCCATTAACAATAAAGTTAAAGTCATTTTCATATTTTCCAAATGGAAAATCTTTGATATTTACATAGTTGATGGAGTAATTCATTTATTATTATTTGAATCAAGCCGTTTATGAATTAGCTACGATCATTTTGCATTCAATTATGGAAATTTTTTGGAGAAGAAAAAAAATTGTTTCAAATGAATATATATTGACACTTCAGATTATGAAAAAAGAAGAGAACTTTTATATTAATACAAAAAAATGGTAGCCAGTTGGGGTAGGGGCTTGTTATATCTCGATAATCGATATCAATTATCAGTAGGTTGATTGATATTGAAAATGAAGTTATTAATTTTAAAATCGATCATCTCGATATCAAATATCGAGAAAAAATTTGATAAATCCAATAAGAACTTTTTGAAAAATGCAAATTTCAAATCTAAAATTATGCGAAAATTTTATTAAATCCTAATGAAACCATTATTGAACATGGAGGCACCATTATTATGATATCTTTGAAGTTACTAGTACGATTTGTCTCTCATTTAAGTTTGATATCCTAAATTGAAAATAATTGACATCGAATTCTGCAAAAAGATTTATTATCCACAAATCAATTCTGCAAAAAAATAAAAATCATCTTCAACAAGCGCCATTATGGCCAGATTAAAACCAGTTTAATTTTTTATATTTAATGTATTTCCTAAAAAACAGGATATAATTTACTTCTACCAAAAATTTAAGCTCTTTAAAGCAAAATATTATTTTTTTATGCCTATTTCTTATTTCAAAAGAAAATAAAAAATTCCAAATTACCAAAAAAATTTCTTCAATAGATCAAAAAAGTTAATATTGAAATTAACTGATGGCCTTTATTTTCATAGAGAGTCAAATATTTTCTAATTAAATTGCTTTTTGTATGTTTAATTAAATGAGATATTTTTATGCCAAATATCAATTCAAAAAAATTGAATTAAAATTTAAGAAAAAGTGCCTATCTACCAGATAATATTCATATTAGCAAATAATATTTCTGAAATGGATCTCGAGAATCATGTCATATTTATTTATAGACATCAAAAAGTAAATCAATTATCGATCTCGAGAATCGGAGAATAGCAAGCTTACATTAAGTTTAGTTTGTCAAATACATACAATTTTAAAATTAGATTTCAAATATACATATGAATGAGCAATTTGAAAACAATAAATTTCTTTTCATCATCAGAGAAGAAGGTATAATATGAGGAAATATCACCCCTATATTTATAATATTAAAATCTAATTATATTTTTATCTTATCTTGAGATTGATATCATTTGGAATTTTTGTTTTTTTTTTATAATTTTAATTGATATATATAAAAAAGGTAGATATCAATATTTTGAAAGAATACTAATAAATTTAAAGATAAAAAAGAATTATGAGGAAAATGACACTTACATTTATTTATTTGTTTATTCATTAAAAATCAAACAGAAGAGTTGCTTAAGTGAACAAAAATATGTCTATTTCAAAAACAAGACATCTAATACCTAAATAGCTCAATTTTTTTCAATATTGAAATAATTATAACAATGATGAAAGGATTTAAATCCTTTAAGAATTCTCATATTTCATTAAAAAGAAGAAAAAAGCAAATGATTAAATAAAACATTTATAAATGTTAGCAATATATAAAAATGTAATTTTTATATTAGTATTGCTATTGGTTATAGTATTATAAATTTTTTATTAACATAATAATATAATATGAATCATATCATATAATGATTTATAAAATGTTTAAATGCAATTCTTGTTAAATATTCATAATTCCATTTTATAATTTGTTTTATTAACCATTCATATAAAAAATATACACATATTATAATCAAAATTTTTAAAATATAATATAAGTTACTTAAAAAAAAAAAAAAAAATGGAAAACATAAACGATTTTATAATCTTTCATGATTGATTGAAAGATTTGAAAGCATCATTATCCATTTAGGCCATATGGCATATGCCGTACTTGAAGATTTTTATATGTAAAGTATTCAAAAGGTTGCACTTTTGCGGTGAGGTAGAAGTTTTGTTAAAAAAGCTATTCAATCAACGACAAAATAGCCATATTTTACAAAACAGCCGAAAGGCTAAGGCATCATTCGTTTATTTCAAACAAATTTTAATTGAAAAATATACGGCAAATAATCGAAAAACATGTCATTTAAAGAGTTAAATTTTTTTGATATATCCAAATTTTCAATTAAACTTTTTGATAAATAAATGATCGTGTTTTTATCTCAAAATTCAAAAAAATTAAATATGACAATTAAAAAGTTATATAATAATCCAAATTCATAAAAATTAGAAAATCATTTCATTTTATAAAACGTGAAGCTCTTTTAATGTTCAACAATTTAACATATGATCCGCTCCAGGATCAAATATTTAATAACTCAGAGGATTGCCAAAGTGAATCCTATTGGAGTAATTATAATGATTATTACTTTTTTGAACCAGAACCATTAAATGCATGTGATATACCTGATAATGATGAAACATTTCAAGAAACATGTGAAAATATTAATGACACTTCACAATCAAACAGAAATCAACCTGATGACACATCAGTAATCCAATATTCACATTCTAATAATAATAATAATAATGATGTTAATCATTGTTCTTCAAATGAATTTGATCAAAAAGATCAACAATTTGATTCATTTGAGAATAAATCGAACTCTCAACCATGCGAAGCATGGCTTGATGATAATCAAAACCAAAAGAGCAATTTGTTTGGGGATCGTCATAGGAAACCTAAAACCAAGTTGTTTCTTTCGGATTCTACAAAAAAATTCAAAAAAGATTTTTATTCTAGATTTACTTCAAAAAAGAAATTCAAAAAAGAATTTGTTAAAGATATTCATAACACAATTCTTGTTGAAAAAATCAAAGGATTTAGAAAAATGAGAAGAGATGAAATTCGTATGATTGATCAATATTTCATTAATTATGCTCCATTTCAAGATGAAATCCTTCAAGTTCTAAAAGATAACCACGATATCATATCAAAGAAAATCTTGAATTTCTAAAGAATAAAACAAAAAACCTAAAATAAAATTTCTTTTTTCTTTTTGATAAACTTAAGTAGACTTGTTATTCTCCGATTCTCGAGATTGATAATTGATTAACTTTTTGATATCGATACATAAATATACACAGATTCTCGAGATCGTTTTCAGAGATCGAGAATTTTTTTTCTCAGCTTTTGATATCAGAATTTTCAATTAAACTTTTTGATAAATATATGATCGTATTTTAATCTCAAATATTTCATAAAAAAAGAATGTATTTTTTGATTTTAATCTTAAAATAAACATCAATACATTATATTATATATTTTTAAATATTATAAAATCACAAATACAAATTATAAAAAAAGATAAATCTGCTTGAGATCTCGAGATCTCGGTAATTGATATCATGTTTACAATTATTTTCACATCACATTTCATATCTGATATCTTGATAATCGATAATCTCGATATCAGATTTGTTAACTGATAATCGAGTATCAGATGCAAAAAAGTGACGTTTTTGATATCGATTCTCAAAATCTTCTTCATTTACACCGTATAATTTGTGGACTCTAAGCTAATCAGAAATATCTTTAAAACTTGGTCTTATTTTGGATCTTCTGCAATGCATTTCTTGACTAATTCATATGTTCTTTGCTTATATTGGTATCATTTTCATTTTCTACAAGATCTTCTATATTAAAGGGCTGATTTGTTATTAATTCGTAAGCAGTAATTCCAAAAGAAAAAACATCAATCTTACTGTTATATGGTTTTTCATTGTATATTTCAGGAGAAATAAAACGAAATGTGCCAAATATATGACTACAATCATATAAATGATCGATATTTGAAATGAATTTAGATAAGTTGAAATCGGAAATTTTAGGACACAAATTTTTATCTAACAAAATATTTGATGGTTTAAAATCGACATTTATGATTTTTTTAGAATGTAAATATTCGCCATTGGAAATACCGTATAAAATAATTTGTTTTTGTGTTGGTGTTAATTCAGCAGTACAGCTAATTGATGAATCATTAATTTTGTCATTTAATGTTCCTTTGGTCATGTATTCAGTCAAAATGAAAATTTTATCAATTACACACCAACCTTCAAGTTTCAAAATAGTGGGATAGTTAGATGTGAGAATATGAATTTCTCTTAAAAAAGATAGATGATCTTTTCGATTTATATTCATTCTTTAGTATTCTTTTCCAGCATAATTTTCATTTATATCACTATTTTTATTCTTGAAAATGCTCACCTTTGAGAATCCTCCCCTACTAATTTGTTCAATATTTTCATATTTTGAAAAATCGATTAAATAACGAGATATATCTTTAATCTTTGAATTCAATTTTTATGAAAAATATAAAACGATCATTTTTAATTCAATTTTTAATTTATAATAAATAGGGATAACTCATCAATTAAAAATTGTTGCTACTATTTAATTTGATTTTTGGTCTTCGATACTAATACTCATATAAATAATGTCATTTTGATGATTCTTTGAGATGTACAAGAAAGTTTTTTCATCATTTCTTCTTGTTCATATGTTTAGCGCATTTGATAATGAATGTGAGCAGTTCTTTTTCTAAAAATCAAATGTATAAAATTGATTAAATAGCATGAAAACCTTCAAATTAATAAATAATTTTTTCAATTTACTTTTTTTTTATTTTTGTAACGAAAAACATCATTTTGATAAAGAAATTTCACCAAATAAAATGACTTGTCAGCAAGAAGTGAAGATTAGTATGATATGCTAGATATTTTTTGTCATTTGCAAAGTTTAAATCTTTTCGATTGAACTTCATAAGCATTCAATAGTTTATATAATGAATTTTGAAATCATCATTATTTGCATGTAATTAAACACAACAAAAACAATTAAAAACGAATATAAAAAGGAGGGTAGGTGGTGTAAAGGTAGCATAAGTGTCTGTGGTACAAAAGGTCCGTGTTCGATTCACGGCTTACCCATTTTTTGAGTTATTTTTTTAAAGTATTCAATATCAAATTCTGAACCCAACCATGAAATTTCAATGTTTTTTTTTAATTTTGAATTATTGTTTTTGGTTTTAATAATTTTTTTTATCTCAATAAGTTTATAATTAAAAGAAAATATTTTATAAAATATATGATCTATATTAATATATAATTAAATTTAATTTAGTTATTTCTGATTATATACATACTGTTATTTGATTAAAGTTCAGAAAAGAGATAATGAGATATAAGAATATTAATCCAATACAATAATGTTATATTAGATAAGATCAATTGCATATATTTAAATAGATTATATGAATACTAAATATTTAATTGAATTGAATTCAAAAAAATTGTGATGTTTATTTTATTTTGAATTAAATTTTGGCCAATCGTAAAAAAAATTCAGAGATCTATTGGTCACTTTATAATAATGAATCATTTCAATGAAAGAAGAAATAAAATTCATTCAATTGATTTAAATAATTAATAGAATTTTGATAACATAATGATTAAAGTTATCAAAATCTTTGTTTTTTAAGAAACAATTGATAGAAGTTATTCAACACAGCTATCAATTTTTGATTATTTCCAATTAAAAATATAAAAATAAAAATAATCTATCTCAAGAATGATACACTTCATTATTTAATTCATTCATTCCAAATGAAAGTTAACAACAACAACAGTAAATTCAACAACATCAGCAAAAGCAGATGCAATGTTTATGTCATGGCACCTCTCGACGTCATCAATGGTGAAGGAAAACCATCTTACTTAAACAAATTCACAGAATGGTGTGAACAATTAAAAGAAGGAGGAATTGATGGAGTTATGATTGATGTTTGGTGGGGACTTGTTGAAAAGACAGCCAACAAATATAGATGGCAAGGTTACGATCAACTTTTCAAAGTAATGCACAAACTTGGTCTCAAAATTCTTCCAGTTCTAAGTTTCCATCAATGCAGTGGAAACATTGGCGACACTGTTCACATTCCAATTCCCAAATTTGTATTCGAACATGAAATCAAGCCATATTTTGTTGACAGATTCAATCAAATCAACAACGAATACATCTCATTCTCATACGACAATGTCAAGCTTGGCGAAAGAACACCGCTCGAAATGTATCGAGACTTCATGATCAATTTCAATCAGCATTTCAAAAAGTACATCAAATGTAAAACAATCTCTAAAATTGAAGTTGGACTCGGTCCATGTGGCGAACTTCGTTATCCTTCGTATTTGTTGTCAAGATGGGAATATCCAGCGAGTGGCTCGTTCCAGTGCTACGATGAAATGTTCAAAGAAATGTTTGCAAAAGATGCAAAAGAAGCAGGTCGTCCAGAGTGGACATCGCCACCAAATGACATTGGCGACAGTTACAATGTGTATCCAGGTGGTCCAACGTTCTGGACAACAGGATACAAGACTGAATATGGCAAATTCTTCTTGAGTTGGTACTCACAAAAGTTGATCGAGCATGGAAGAAATGTCTTGAAAACAGCACGAAAAGTATTTCCAAACACCGAAATCTCAGGAAAGGTTGCTGGAATCCATTGGCAATATTTGAATGAAGCAAGAAGCGCAGAAGCAACAGCAGGTTATTATAACACAAATGGAAATGACGGTTATTCAGAAATCGCCAAAATGTTCAAAGAAGAAAAAGTCGATTTTTGTTTCACATGTCTCGAAATGCGTGGACAAGATAAATACTCATCCTCTGATCCTGAAAGCCTTGTGAGTGATGTCTTTGAAATTGCATCTAAAAATGGCCTGAGTTTTGAAGGTGAAAACGCTATCGAGTGCTACAATTGGGACGCATATAACCAAATCTTGAAATGGAAGAATAAAGGAATGAAAGAATTCACATTCTTGAGAATGACTGAAAAACTGATGAACAATGAGAAGACATGGTTGGATTTCGTCAAATTCACACAACAAATGCACTTCAGCTGTTATCAAGGAGAAGATGATGATGAAGAAGATCATGATTCTGAATCTGAAAAAGAAAGTTGTGAATTTTACAATTTAAAATGTGAATATAACTTATTATAGAGACTTGTTAAATTATAATATGGATATCGATATAAATAAATAGACGATTTATAACTTTTTTATTATTTATTCCCAAGTCCGAAATGAATTGAAAATATTTTTTTTAGATGATAGCATAGTTTCTCAAATTATAATTCATATATCATAATGCTCTTGACATATTATGGAAATGGCAATGCTTTCTAATTTCTTCCATTTTATTTAAATAAAAAAGTAGAAGTTTTAAATTAGAAAGCGTCATCTTGGCGATCTTGACCAATTCTTTTTCTGTCAGGAAAAGTAATTAAATCTAGAAAATCGCGAGCGTTTGCATCATTATTTTCAAGATATGAAAGAATGTGCTCATAAATTTCTTTCTTTTCAAATATATATATCGAAAACTATTCACTCGTTTCCATTTTAATTTGAATGTTTTTGGTGAAAAATTTCAATTGACAACTTTTTCAATTCTTTTTTATCGATGCAAATAAATTATGCTATATTGCATATATGTGCAACATTTATGTGATAAATTTCTCAAAAAAAAAACAGAACTATATGAAGAACAATAAATTAGATATCTAAAGATAAAATTTTAGAAAAAAAATCTAAATAAATTTTTCCTTTAAAAATAAAAGTATGTAGTTGTATTGTCCTAGAAAAAAAAAAACATTTACTAAATATAAAATATATTTCAATGATTTTATATTAAACCTTGTTGGGATTTACGATTAATAATATTATCTAATTCATTTTCGGGCAATAGTGTATCTAACGTTCCCCCTGCGGTTTTAATTGCCCATTTATATACCTCTTTAGCTTTTTCTTTACTTCCTTCAAACAATGAAGGAAGCTTGCAGACTTCATCAAGGGCTTCAATAATCATTGTAGCAAGTTTGGTTTCGTACAAGTCAATTTGTTCTCCAACATTTTCTTTCATTAATTCTTTATATAACCCAAGAGCATTAACTGCAACTTTTTTCGTCCTTGGATATCCACTGGCCATCACATTCCATGGATCACCATCTTTTGACTGATCTCCAGCAAGTCTGAAATCAGAGCGAAAGAGTACAGAAGGAATGTCACACATTTTTGCATAACAGAATTCAACAACAGTTCCTGAATCGAGGTCAGTTCCATCAAAATTGAACAATGCGACATCAGAAGAGAGAAGATGCTGTAAATCTGAATCTCTTATTATTGTGGAACGACCTGCTGGTAATTCTTTATTTTGCGGTAAATCAACAAGGTACTTCCCATTTGAGAGCTGATCAATTTTTTGTCCGAGGAGAGCATTTCCTACAATGTGCTTATGGTCGAAAAGATCTCCTGCAAAATAAATTCGCTTAGGAATCATTTTTTATATTCTATTCAATTTTTGAATAAAAATAATTTACTTTTCCGTTGATATCAATTTTATTTTCATATCATGAAAATTAGAGGGATAACAATGATTATTATAGATAAAGCTAGGCAAACAAGTTTGATTTAACTCTATGAATTATTTTTTTAAGAGTTAAATCTTAAATTTAGGGTTTTTAATAACCGTTTTTTAATTGAAAATATAATTTGTAAAATATACAAAATCAATTTTATATATTATTGAATATTTTAATTTGTACTAGCTTATTACATTTAAAAATAAATTATTAATATTACTAATATAACATTAGAAATAATTTGAAAATATTATGGAAAATTATATCAATTGAACAAATTTTGCAAAACTTAATTCTTATCTGAATTAAATATTAATATTTATTTTATAGCTATTATATTTCAACAATACATATGAGTTGATAAATCTGTGCTAAAATTTAAAAATCTCTTTTTTAATAGAAGTAATCGACAAAATAAGAAGCATTTCTTAATTTTACTATAATTTAATGTATAATAAGATTTTTAACTCATCTATATCATACATGTGTACTCATTATATAGTAATAAAACTGTTTTTTACATAAAATATCAAACTTGGAATTAATTAAATAATTAAATAATTATAATAAAAGCTAAAAATCTGAAGTAAATATGTAAAATGAATAAAAATGGTCTTAATATATCATTATTTTGAGGTTGATTAGAAAACTATAGGTTAGTGAAAATTAATATAGTAATCTTAATAAAAACCTATTTCTTTTTTTTCACTCAAAAAGATATCATATATCATTTCCACTTTGGAGTGAATAATATAATGGTAATAATAATATTATCTTAATTATTTACTGGAACGTTTTAGAAGGCATTTACATTCCCCTCTCAAATAATTGAGTTTAATTTGAAAGGGGGATTCAAATTTCAGAATTTTTGAGCGGTTTCTCAAAACCTTACTTAAATTTAAAAAACTTTTTTAGAGTAATATATTGAGAGCCTCTTTCAATATGTAATATACAAATATTGCATGAAAGAATAAATCTTAATTATAAGATTCATTTAGCAATTGAATTTTCATAAAAATACGAATTTTTTTTGAATATATAAAAACTCAAAGGAATATCCATCCTATAGATATCAACTTTTGCCTTATTCTTTAACAAATAATATACCATCTGGATGGTGTCCTGCAAGATACTAGCAAATATCTTTAATGAAAGAATATGATTTTGGTCATTTAATGGCCTATTGTATCGTCTGTTGAAAAAGAAAGATGAAACAATATTTAATAATTGTGCTATTTAAGGAGATTATGTTGCTTTTTGATAACTTTCTCCAAAGGATTTAGACAAAATTCAAGATTGACTGGTTATTTGGATTTTTCACCAAAATATAAGGAAAAAAAAAAATGTTTACACTCTTGAATATTAAAAAAATCATTCGTAAAATGGAGATAATCGTTTTTTCAATCTAATTTTTTTAAATATTGATTATAAGATGAGAACTTAACGGAAGCATTTTAATTAAAATTATCTTGAAAATTCAATACTTTAAAGTTTTTAATATTATTTTATTAATAT